ATTATTATTAGTACATGCTCTTGCTACGCCCGAAACACTCGTTCACTAAACTCATTTTTATTATTTTTTTTATGACAAGTTATGAGATTTTAGTTGTAAAAAAGTCGTAAGGTTTAGTATTGTTAAAGGCGTAAAAATGGCATCCTTTTAAAAAAAATAAAAAAAAAGTAAATAAAAACAAATAAATAAATAAACAAAAAAAAACGAGACTACCTTCGCCAAAAATAAAAATGTACAGATTGCGGAGCCCTCACAAAATATATGTATTAAACACTTANATGTATACCAATCAAAAGCATTTCCTTTTAGCGAGCGGACAAACTACTTGATAAGTTAATATCCATAAGCCCCAGCATTGTTGCATGTCTCAACGAAGTGCGCCAAATGTTGTTTTGAATTGCCTTTGCCATCAAACTGTTGGAACTTTGGAGGTTGATAACCAGTAGGCATATTCAACATATAGATCCTTGCAGTGTACAACTTTGCGTATGTAAGAAAGGACTTAGAAGCAATTTCATACTTATTTTTGATAGTCCCTTTAATGAACTCCTTTAGTTGATCGATTGGAATCATACCTTCAGATGAGACAAGGATAGCATTAGCGGATGCTACTTGTCTTGGGAGAGGATCATTCCTTGGAACATCTAGGAGCTTACCAGGTGCATGGCTGGACTCTTCTTCCATCAAGATTCCCACTCTATCTGTCAACTTGTCAATTCTAGCATCTTTATTCTCAAGCCAGCAATTGCTTCTGTCAAGTTTGCCAACTTCTCTTCCACAGATGAAGCGTTCGTCATCAATATTTACATGATCGTTATGGACGACGGAGAATAGCATGGATTATCATATAGATTGATCCTCGATTGGCTCACGCTATGTGGTGTAAGTGGGGAGGATCCGTCACTTGAAGTACCATCATCTTCCTTCACAATAGAGTTCTTGGATCCTAAGAGGTTAAGCAAAGCTAGAGTTTTCTTAATTTTTTCAGCAACATTGCTTTCTCCTTCAAGTGCGTTCATTGAGGATGAAGATCCGAAAATAGGGGTTGATGCGGATGGCACTTGGAGTGATTGTCGTCCTAAAGAGCTTGCTTTGCTCTATGTAACTGGTCCAAAGCTTCCAAAGGTAATATCGAGGATATTTTCTACATCAATGTAGAACCTAGAATTAGTAGTCATGGTGGAAGTTGATCGGGAGTTGATTTTCTTTGAATCCATTTCATTGTTCTTGAATTTTGATGATTGAAAAGTTGAGATGAGAGGTAGAGATTATCCCACTAGGCGTGCCGAAATTTGTAGACAATAAAATTACGTTAAGAAAATAATCTAGACCGAAAAATATTGCAGCAATCGTAGTATTTTGACTTGGTTTGCCTTGTCATTTTGACATGTGGCATGATCTTATTGGCTCTTCCGTTTGACCTGGCGTGACACGTCATTTCACACGTGTCACCAAACTGGGCCTCTAGGAAAATGACATCTTGGGCCTAATGAAATGGGCTCATCATTTGTAGCCCAATTAAATGGGATAGCCTAGTGGTGGCAAAATGGTTAAAAGAAAACAGTTAACCACCCATATTATCTACTAAAAAATGGGTTGGATAATGAACTTGTTAAAAACGAGTTAAATATGGATAAGAACCATATTATCCATTTAGAAAATGGATAACCAATGAGTAAACAATGGATAACTAATGAGTTTAACTTTTACATTTGTAAATCATCAAATTGGGGGTACCCCAAGTTTGGGAGATTAGGAATTCTCCCAAAATTAATCATATTCAAGAAGTCGTGGATAATATGGTTACTCAGATTATCCGCCGGTTAACCCATTTTTTATCCGTATTAAATATGGGTCGGGTCGAATAATTTTTCTGTTTTTTCATTACTCATTTTTTACCCGAACTATATCCGACCCAAGCCGCCCGTTTGTCACTCGTAGGCTAGCCCAATGGATTTAGACTTATTTATTTAACTCATATATATTGGACTTATATAATTAACCCAATTATATTAGTCCATAATATTTATTTAAAATATTAATCCAAGTTATTTTATAGATTTAATTTCAATAAAATTTATATGCCTACAGTAACATCTCAGTGCTTTCTGTTCAACAGGAAAAAAAAGGAATTTTTGCATTCCTATGCCACATAGGAAACCTTATTACTCTCAATGTTTAAGGTTTGACTTAATTACACTTAGTATACCAAATTACCAATTCTATACCATAATTAATTAAGGGTATAATTAATTGTACGTTTTTTACTCCTTAATTAAAGGAATCTGAAAATTCTTCTTTGTTTATATGAGAACAGAATTTGAAGTGCTTAATCCAGGCATTCTTGGATGCAGATTCCTCCAATATTCATTCTTCGATGCAATAAGTTTCTCGTTGAAGCCTAATCCAAAATATTACTTTTGGTTCTTCCATATATTCCAGATGATGCTATTAGTTGTGATGAAAAATCAGTAGCAGCTTTTGGTGAATAATTGGGAATGTTCAGTAATATTAACTGAAAATCTTACCTTAACATTTCCCAATTCAAACATCCATCAGAACCGTTCCAGTTAGAGATAAGATGAAAACAGAATCAATTAGCAACAGAGAATATGTTAGATATACACTGAAAGAACATATCTTTCAGTATGTTTTCTACAAAAAATTTACAAATATACAACAAATCAGTTTAAGTATGTATAAAGTAGTATTATTTGTAAGGGTATCTACATAATTACTACATTTATACTAAATTGTAGACTGTTTTTTGCAGAAGATTTGTAGAAGTTTTAGTCGTTTTTGATTTGTGAAAACAGAAAACAAAGCATCTACAATTAGAATACAAATAATCTACAATTTATCTACAAAATATCTACAAACTGGGTACATTGAATTTTAATATCCCAATTCACATTCAATTGTAGCTTAATTGGTATTTTCGACATAATTCCGTTTTTTGCAGTTAGTCGTTTTGGATTTGTGAAAATAGAAAACAAAGCATCTACAATTAGAATACAAAAAATCTACAATTTATCTACAAAATATCTACAAACTGGGTAAATTGAATTTTTATATCCCAATTCTCATTCAATTGTAGCATAATTGGGATTTTTGACATAATTGCGTTTTTCAGAAGATTTGTAGAAGTTTTTATTTGTGAAAATAGAAAATAAAGCATCTACAATCAGAATACAAATAATCTACAATTTACCTATAATTTCTGCAATATGTCTTCTTCTTCTTCAAGTTTCAATCTGAAATTCAGTCAAAACCAAGTCTAATCTTCACTAAAACCCCTCAAAATTGAGATATAAACTCCAAACCATATTCCCGATTAGTTTCAACAACACCCAATCCAAACAAATAATGATTTTTGAAAACCTAAATTTGAATCCAAAGTTTTCAAGTTTTTTAATGGTTGTCAATGGTGGAATTGCTGCTCTCTTTTCATTTGCTTTGTATTACTGAAATTTGCAATTCAGAAATAGAGAGAGATATAGAGAGAATTTCTTGAAACAGAGTGTATCGCAAAAACAGAATATAGAAAATCTTGTTCTGCGTTGTGGAAGATCAAAGTGAAGCCAACGATAATTATGGAATGTGCGTGATTTGCGTTGGGGAAGATCTGGAAAATATTTAACTCCCCTTTTTTAGCGCGCAAAATAAGGAATCATAAAGCTACAGTAATTTCTTATTTAATGCATTATATATATTAGGTAGAAATACTATTAACATAAAGGGTAATAAGCAAACTATGAACATATTTGCTAATATAGTTTCATATATGGTATATATACGAAAACGCCAAAAAAAAAGAGACAGAATTGCAGAACTTCTACTTAGATGAAGTAAGAAGGTCACGCGAATGGAGAAAAGGATCGGCCGGGGCTTCTGTTAGAAATTTCGGATTTGTATGGGTGGTCCGAATATATGTATAGACGAGCAGGTATTTAATGCAAACTTGGGTTATATATGGACCAATAAGAGAGTGCCATGTCATCTCAGTTTCAGCTCTTAAAAGGGACAGTTTATTTTAGGGACAAATATGAGCCAAGAAATAACTGTGAGGGCATTAGGGGACCAAATAGGTTAACTAAGAGCAATGGTGAAACAAATTGAATAGGTTAGGGGTATTTTTAGACCTTTTCCACCTACTAAAAAATGTTTTGTTATTCTCATTTACATTTAATAGAAAGGAAGAGACTTCAAAACCTGGAGAGGACAAGACCTTCGACAATGATAATTACTTAAATAATAATAACTCAAATGCATAAGGGCAGCATAAATTACAAACTAATAAACCTGGGTCAGGCCCTAAAATAGTCTAGAATCTGGATTATGCTCTAGTTTCACTTTGATCGCAAAGATTATCTCTCTTTACACTGGCATAACTTGGAAAATCATTAGCAAATTGGTCTAAGAAATATTCCATTCTGTAAAGGCATAACACAAGGAACAACACTGACACCAATCACATAGTATGGTAAATAATGAAACAATTCATAAGTATCACAAAAGACCCAAAGGAAACTAGCTGGTCCCAAAAACAACAGGATTGTATTCAAAATATGGTACTCATCAAATAGCATTCTATCGATGAGCATGTGCACAACGATATTGATGTCTGGACACTTCTCGTCTTATCAGCAAGCAGCCAATCTCATAATCTACTTTTTCTCCTATAACATCTGCACGACAGAATACATCAATTTACCTGAACTTGCAGTCTGACCACCCTGGCATGACAAAAGGCAGCTTCCAAAACATTAATTAATCAGTAAGTAGAGTCATGACCTGGACTATCGGAATGCATATCCATGGATGCATCGGCAGAGATATAACTATTAGAATCTCTATTTTGGTGTTGGGAGTTTGTTTCAATGTGTCTTGTACCATTGGGAGGTTGAACATTGTTCGAAAACTGACCCCCTTGAGCAATGTGATAATTCTGTAAGCTCCGGCGAACAGGACTTGAAAGAGCATTTGAGAAAACGTTATTCTTTGGTTGCTGATCATGATCAGAACGTAAGCCATGACCTGGAGCTGCTACGCCAACTGGACCTGGAGAGACATGGAAGCCTGAGTTTGCAAAATGCATCGGCTGGGAATGCTGATGCTGAGGTGGTGGCCTAGGCGACATTGACTGGTCCTCTCCATTACAATCCAATTCGGACTGGCAAATCCATAGATGCATAGACACATCAAAACAGGGCTGTCAGATGTTGTCAAACCAGGAGTGGTTTTGTAAAAAAAATAGCAACCAGAATGGTGAAATAGGCAAACCCAGGACTGGTTTTGTAAAAAGATAGCAACCAGAATGGTGAAATAGGCAAACTACTGATACATCTTCCATAAGTTCAGTGCAGTCAGTAGGTAAACAGTACATACTTAAATAAGATTTGAAGAAAGCAGGAAATCAGGCTCTTATCTATAAACTACAAAATCACGAGATCTCGACAGCTTATACCCAAGAAGGACCCACCATCATCACTTTTTTCTTCCTTTTTGCTTCTTTTTTCTTCAACAATTTGACATCAAACAGATACATACGCGAAACTTTCGCTACTTCATAAAGTTTATTACATGTAGAAAACAAGTGTACAATTTCTTTTTTGGTTTGACAGAGTACCAGGCTCGAACTCTTGACCTGGTGGCATGAAAAGGAATCTCTCAAGTCTCAACCACTATGAACAAGAATGGCCGGTCAAGTGTACAATTTATTTTAATCTTAAAAATGTTGTTCTGTTTTTTTTTTTATCAAAAAAAAGATACTATCCGCAAAAAGAAATTCTAAGTATCCAATCTGCATATTGAGAGATGATTCTGAGAAAAATATATTTAAATAAAAAAATCAAGCCTTAGAGGAAAGTAACTTAAACATGTGCCTGAGAAGCCAATGGTTTCAGTATAGCTGAGAGCCTGAGAAGCCAATGGTTTCCCATTTCTGTGAAGACCCGAGTCATCACTATGAAAACTAATAATGGAATATAATCAGATCAAATGTATCAAGAGGGATCTTGCAATCTATAATCCAGTAATCATTTAATGTCAAATAAGAACTCTCACAAAGATAACAGGTTAACAGATACACCATACACCATGTCTAAAACAGACACAAGATCCATTCAAGATTAATAAAATTCTTGAAAACGCAAGCCCCCAAAACCCTGACTAGAAGGAAAAAAATAAATTAATCATAAGGTTGAGCTAATTGATGGCTGTATCACATCTCTTTTGATACAAATTTCTCTGTCATGTAAAATTCAACATCAACTGCCAAGAAGAATCAATAGCCATCATGGCATTCTTTATTCATATACAACATCATAGGATTCAATGTCAGGCTTAAAATCATCATGGAAAGATTTCACAATAGCAAGGAAGGTAAGTGCTGGTACCCTTATGACATCAAGGTCCTTCTTAATAATAACAAAGCGCACAAAAATTTCAAACCATCCAACAGATAAACAGCAAGATTGTTTACTGAGTCATCTCCAAGTCATAAATCAACAAGGATGAGTAAGCTCATGCAACCTTTTCCGGAAAAGAGCATATCCAGGTAGCTCAACCAGCTCGGTCTATCCAAAAGCAATTTGGGAGCTCCTACTACCTCCACCGAACTCCAATAAAATTTCATTCTCATTTTGTTAGCGTTTTCAGGTAAAAGTAATTTCACACCTCATATGATAAGCCAAGATCTAAGGTCACTTTGCATAAACATTATGCAGGAATTTATGAACTACAGACTGAAACATTGGATTAAAGGCCAGCTAGAGCAAGTTCCAATGACAGTCCTTTGTATTCGTTAAAAAAAAATTACAATCTAATTCGTCATCTTGCATTTCAGACAGTGGTGACGGGAGACACAAGAGCAACCTATCAATGTCAGTCGCATTACTATACATAGTGTCCCAGTTCTGCTTGCGCGATTCATTCACTTGCTGAAAGATCTGGACAAATGCATGCGGAAACAACAAGACTCACATGCTCTAAAGCTCAATCAGTATTTACCTCAAATGATTGCACACACAAAAACTACAGAGAAGCCACTGGTTTCTCACTCTCTCCTAGAAGCAATTAAGCATTTGCAACGAACCTCAAAAGGTCCCTAACACTAATTCTGGATAACCAGATCAAGAGAATCTTTGGATAGAAGGAATCTGGGTAAAAACAAAAACCTCAACAAAACTATGCCTCAGTCCCAAACAAAGTTGGGGTAAAACAAAAACCTCATGTTCTTTAATTCCATTAAGCCTTTTTCATAATTTTGAATCCATTGACTGTTTCTAAATATCGGGTCTTTAAATCTGCCTCTTTCAGTCTAAGTCAATCAAAAATTGGATTTGGACATTATATGTTCTTGATCCCGAGTAGTGAAATTGAGGACGTACCTCCGAAGAGTCTAACCATTCACAAGCAGAACCATGTTATCAGTTATGTCCAAGATTTTCAAGAAGAAAATTTTGATTAACATACAAGAAAAACTTTATGTTCTTTTTGTCAAGTTATCTACAATATCGCCAATCACAATGCATAAGGGTTCTCACTTTCTGATTGGAAAAAAAGAATGAGTCTCCGTGATTTGTTTTGTTTTCTTTTTATTCATTTTTTTGGTTGGGAAAAGGATCATGTGGAGATTCATTGACTATAAAAAGCTAAGGATCAAGCTTTCAGGATTATATTGCACTTTTAAGAAGAGTAAGGATCTCCTATGCTCTTTGCTAAGTAGATGAAGCTCCATAGAATAAACATGAAAGGAAAATCAAACATATCAACCATAAAAAGGTGGCTAGATAATCAAGATAATAGAAAAGAAACCTGCAGGTAGTTCAGTATGTCAACAGTTGTTACTCTGGATCCACCCTCTTGTTGCCTCAAGATCCATTGGTACAGTTTTTCCTATTAAAACAATGGTATGTTAGTTATCATGATTCGCAGTCAAAAGGGCAACAACTAGGATTCATCGAAAGATAAAATCCCAACAAACGGAAGTAGATCATTTATATTAAAATAACACAGCATGTGTCTTCCAAGAAAAAGATTTAGAAGCCTTGGTACTAAGAAACATTTCCTTCTGAAACATTTAATTTAAGCTTAGAAATCAAAAGTACTTGCAGTCACAATCTAGTGTGAAGCCATAACTACATATAAGTATGGGAAAAACTTCATAGTTGTACAGCCTAATCAAGTTCACATGCACCACTTTTTCTTTTTACAAGTCAGATCATTTCATTGATTACATACCACCACGGTATCAAAAGTATTTACAAAGGGAGAGGGTAGCTCAACCACAATTGTCAATGAAGTTATCCACTCATCTCAACACAATCATCTAAGTACACGGGTATGCTCTCTCTATTATGGAATAATCTCCTATTCCGCTAATTACAGTTGCAACAATGGTGTGCTTCTCCAAATTACCTTGTTCTCCTATTCGGTCTTCCGTATTCTCCAACAAGTGATTGTCCTTGTTACTCTGCTTGACATTATTTTATAACGTTTGTTACTCTGCTTGACATTATCGACCTAATATCAAACAAGAAAAGTGCAAGATTCCACAGCTATGCAATGCAACAGAATGCAATCCTCTTTCTTTAAATTATCTGCTGCTAAAGTTGCATCTTGCACCATAGACCACTAGAAATCTGCTTCCTTAGGTGCCTTGGTATCCCAAACGTTTTCTATAACTGTTTCCTGTCTCCATCTCAGGATAGTTAATACATTATGTATTTTAGATAGATGACTTTTCTCTTCTTCCCCCATACTATCCTATCATCCCCTCACCTCCTATAGTCACTCATACACCTATGAAGAAATTCCTCAATCCCCTCCGATTATTGGACCTTGCTATGGATTTCGCTACTCAAACCGTCAGACACTATAGCGTCATGCTAATCACTACTTCAAATTCGGCTTGACTGCTTCCTCTAGAGCTGTTCCACCACACTCTTCTCCCAACCAAATCCTTATACCATTTCCTACTCTTATTCCTATACACCATAAAACATGTTTTCTTTTATTACCTCCTTCAGCAAGCTAATCCCATAAGAATTCCTTACTTCTGATGTAGCTGAATGGGAGCACAAGGTCTGAAGTTTAGTACTGAAATGGAACTTGGAATCCTACTCTTTTTATATAATGGTGGTGTTTGAGCTAGCTTGTGGTCACCTCAAGCACTTGCTACCTCCCACCAATAAAGGACTTAGTTAACTAACTCCTCTTCGCATCATGGCTCAGCCAGAGGAAAAATTCACATAGTGCAGCCTCTATTGGAACGGCAATCCTCCTCCTTTACACGGGACCCACTATACTTTACAAAGGTCACACAGACAAAGTTCAAATTCCAAAATTATACCAAAAAAAAAGTAAAAACAATGTATCAACCCAAACTAGTTGGTGTTGACTAAATAATCCTCATAGTTAAAGTAATTTTTTCGCAATATTTTCCTATGGGCTTTCATCCCCCAGCAACTCTACTCCTTTATTGAGACCAGCTATACCTTAGAACTCAGATAGAAAAACATAAGACAATCCCTAGATATGAAATTAAGCATAAAAATACAAAACAAACAAAAAACAAATATTTATAGCATATACTAAGAAACCAAACAAAGAAAGAAGTACAAATACCATTCCGTGGCGTTCACCGGAAAGGAAAGAGAGTTTCTGTTGGTTCATAGCTTGAGTATAAAGCTGAGAAAGGGAGTTGGCAGCGCTACAGAAAGTTGAATACATGGTTCGATCCACCTCATCGAGGCTCGTTGCTAGCGACTTCCGTTTCTTCCCCATTCTTCAACGCGAGATTTCCCTTCTTATCTCTTTTAACTTATCTTTTCTATAGCCGTTTTTCGATAATCGGAAAAATCTCAGGCGATATTCTGGTAGATAGGTTCCGACGATTTCGCGGCGGAGGTTGGAGGATTGTGTGATATAGGACGCAATTGTATTTGTAAGCAAGTGTTAGGGGTGGTTTGGGTATGAAATACAGTACTTGGTAGGGATGGACAGTTCGGATTGGATTATGAAAAAAAATTATGTTTTTGGATTTAAAAATTACAATTCAAATTTAAACCAAAAAAGCTCCGATTGATTCCATTTTAAAAGTTCTATTTTGATTAATAAATCTGGTTATTTGAAATTTTCCATTTTCAGCTTTTATAAGTTGCCCTTGTTCTTTTTACAAAAATCAACCTACAAACAAAGTATTTATGTCAAATTGTCAAAATTAACCTACAAATAAAGTACTTCTGTCAAATTGTCTTAATAGTTTTTTGTTTTTACCACAATCATATGAAATTTGTTTAAATGGTGCGGGTAGCCATTTTGTGACTGTAATTGAAAAGTAACCACCGTTCAAAAAGTAATTAAAAATAGCAATTTTTAATGCGGCGATAAAATTTGGACAAAATACCCGTAACTAAGATTCGAAAAAAATTTCAGCATAATTGACTGGAGTTCATATAATGACCCGACCGATTGTTTTGAGTATTTTAGCCATGTTTTCCTTATTTAATGCTTTACATATGTGTATATGTACTTTTGGGGACTTGTCGAATAGTTGGTCTGGTTCAAGGAGAGTTTTGGATTGATTCATCCTTTGGTTGGAGGCTTAAGTTGTAAGAGTTGATCGGAGTTTAACTTATATGCAGACGACTCCGCAATGGTATTTTGATGGTTCCAATAGTTTCGTATGGTGATTTTGGACTTAAGCATATGTTCGGATTTGAATTTAGAGGTTCCTAGGTTGTTTTGGTTTGAATTGACGAAAAATGGAAAGTTGAAGGCTTGTAAGGTTGATAGGTTTGACCGGGGGTTGACTTTATTGATATCTAGTTCGGATTGTGGTTCCGGAAGTTGGTATAGGTATGTCGTGTCATTTCGGACTTGCATACAAAATTTGAGGTCATTCCGAGTTGATTTGATATGTTTCGGCATGATTTTTAGAAGTTGAAAGTTCATTAGTTCATTAAGCTTGAATTGAGGTGTGATTCGTAGTTTTGATGATGTTTGGTATGATTTGAGGCCTCGAGTAAGTCGAGTTATATTTTGGTATGGGTTGGTGTTATTGGACGGGGTCCCGGGAGTCTCGGGTGTATTTTAGATGGGTTTCGGACCATTTCTCCATGTTTTTGCCATTGCTGATTTCTAATGTCTGGTTTCCTTCTTCGCGATCGCGAAAAGGTAGTCGCAATCGCGTAGGGTATTTTTTATGGCAGGCGGGTTTTTCTTTGCGTTCGCAATGCTTTGGGAGGCAGTGGCCTTCGCGATCGCATTAGTATCGACGCGTTCACGTAAAAGGGAGGTCGGCTGGGGGCATGTGGCTGTAAGCCTTCACGATCACAACGATTCACCCGCGTTCCTGTAGGGTCAAGAGTGTGTTGTGCTTTGCATTCGCGTTCATGTCCTTTGCCTCACGTTCACATAAGGTTATTTGGAGGCAGTGTTTGGATGTGCTTCGCGATCTCGAAGACGGTTCCGCGATCGCGAAGACGGTTCCGCAATCGCGAAGGGTATGCCTGGGCAGACCTATTTAATACTCTATTTCGAGAGCTTTTGTTATTTTATCACAATTTGAATTATAGAGCTCGGATTTGGGTAATTTTGGAGGGGATTTTTATGATTTGGATCGGGGTAAGTATTTTTTATTCGGATTGGTTTATATTTCATGATTCTAACCTTGAATCTAGCGATTGTTTGATGATATGAATTGAAGAAATTGAGGATTTTAGTAAAAGCTTTTCTAAACATAAATTGATGGTTTAAAGGTCGATTTGAGGTGAGAATTGAGTGAAATTGGTATGGTTGTACTCGTATCGGAATGGGTGTTTGGAATTTTTGAATTTTGTTGGGTTCCGGGATGCGGACCCGAGGTTAACTTTTGAGTTGATTTTTTTTATTTTAGTTAAAGATCGAAGCTTTATTATTCGGAATCATTTCCTTTGGCTTTTATTTATGATATTAAGATTTTAGCTAGATTCGAGCCATCCAGAGGTTGTTTCACGCGAGAAGGGCTTCTTAGAGTATTGATTTAGCTTCTTTGAGGTAAATATCTTACCTAACTTTGTGTATGGGAATACCCCTTAGGTGCTAGTCCTGTTATATTGATTTATATAAAGTGAAAGTGACGTGTACAAGAGGTGACGAGCGTGTATACAGGTACTATGTGTGAATTTGATCAGAATAGATCGTACGCTATTAATATGCCTTAATGTGATAATGAACTTTGTATGAAATATGTTTAAATTCTTTTATGACTATTTGATCATGATCATTACATTAACTTAGCCATTGTCATGCTATATGTATTGTATACCCCTCCGCTTTTATGATTATTTTATGTCCATATGTAGTGTTGTTGAACGTTGTGAGCTTACAACATGATGGAACTTTGGTATCATTATTTGCGATATTGTGGCACTTGGTATTATCGTTTTGAGGTGTTGTGGCACTTGTGGACATGTTGAGCGGATTGATTGAGAGTATCAACACGAGGTTTTTGTCGTGTGATTGTGTCTATTATTGTGCGCGTGAGGCAAAATAATGGTGGCGTTATCTCGGGCTGCCCGTGGCGAAATAAGGGTAGTTATATGCGCATATGGTGAAATAAATATGGCATAACATTATTATATGAACATGCAGCGTAATAAGGGTGGCACTGTTGATGATATTATATGATATTTCGGGTTGTCCTTGTTGTTGTTGTGATTATGTTGATACGGGATTGATAGTTTTATTTTTATAATTGTTTCTGAAAGCTTCTGTTTTGCCCTTATTTGAGTTAGTGACTGAATTTGACGTGTTATCACACACCTCGCCTCTACTTGATTTTTTGGGAACAAAGAAGGATTTATCACTTTAAGTTGTTATTGCACGTTCTAAAGGGGTTGTGTTACCATTTTCCATTATATTCTTGTTATCAGTTTTCTTCGATATAATCATTTCCCAGGTTATTTGTCTAGTGAGTATCAAATGACTTGAACCTCGTCACTACTCCACCGAGCTTAGTCTTGATACTTACTAGGTACCGATTGTGGTGTACTCATAATACACTTTTGTATATTTTTGTGCAGATCCAGGTACTTTGGATCAGGCTAATTGGCAGTGAGGTATTTGGTACGCGGGAGACTTCAAGGTATCCCTGCATGATCCAACCGTAGGCCACGGAGTCACCCTCTTATTTTATTTATATTGTTTATGTATTTCAGACAGTGTTGTATTTTTGAGATGTCTTCGTGTATTCGGGTAGAGCTTGTGACTATGTACTGCCTAGTTTTGGGAAGTTATGTTGAGTATTATCGCTTTGGCCTATATTACTCTTATTTTTGCATTTATGTTAAATTCTATTTTCATTATGTCATGCTTCTAACACTTAATAATGTTAAGTGACATGCTTACCTAGTTTGGAGACTAGGTGCCATCACGATCCTTAAGGTGCGATTTCAGGTCGTGACAAGTTGGTATCAGAGCTCTAGGTTCATAAGTTCTACGAGTCACGAGCAAGTTTAGTACAATCTTGCTGATCGGTACGGAGACATCTGTACTTATCTTCGAAAGGCTATGGAACTAATAAAAAATTTCACTTCTTTCATTTGTTTTCGTACGGAGTTATTAATTTCAGAGCTTGAGCTTTTGTCTTTCTACTCTCTCACATATGGTGAGGACACGCACTACCAGATCAGCTGAGCAATCACACGCACCCCCTACTAGAGCCGCGAGAGGTCGGGGCTGAGATAGAGGCCGAGGAGGGGCACATGATACATCTAGAATACTTGCCAAAGCAGCGACTGAGGATCCACCGGTAGCTCTGATAGGGGAGCAGGAACCTGAGGTGTGTGTTACTACCCTTGGACTATAGGAGACATTGGCATATTTCCTGAGCATGTTTGTACCTTGGCTCAGTCTAGATTGATCCAAGTTGCACCAGCTACATCTCAGGCTGGTGAAGAGCCCGTAATCCCACCGCCTATACTTTAGAGAAGCGGGCCTATGTTGATCAGGTTCTGGGTGTTATGCCTGTACAGCCCATGATTGCAATTCAAGGTCAGGCCAGTGGTATCAGAGGAAGAGCAGAAGAGGCTTGAAATGTTCAAGAAATATTTTCCTCCTACTTTCAGCGGTGTAGTTTCTGAAGATACACAGAGTTTTCTAGATCAGTGTCACCGTATTCTACGCACTATGGGCATAGTGAAGGTGAGAGGGGGTGACCTCACTATTTTCCAACTGACGGGGTTGGCATATAGATGGCAGTAGGCTTATGAGAAGAATAGGCCTATTGACACACCACCACTTACTTGGGCTCAATTCTCTGACTCTTTTTGAGGGAGTTCATCCCACATACCCTTAGGGATGCATTAAGCACAGAGTTTGAGCAACTACGCCAGGGGACTATGACTCTGTCTGAGTATGCTATGAGGTTTGTTGAGTTGTCTCTTCACACACCTGCTTTGGTTTCCACTACTAGAGAGAGAGTTTGTAGATTTATTAAGGACCTACAACCTCAGATTTAGGATGGCACAGGAGTTGGATACAGATACTCTGTTTAAGTAGGTCGTGGAGATCGCTAGGAGGTTGGAGCGTATTCGCTATCAGGATAGGGAGGATAGGGAGGCTAAGAAGCCTCATGGTTTTGGAGGATTCGGAGGCTCCTACTCTGGGGCAACCTCCGTCATGGCAGAGGTTTTACTAGTTGATTAGTTCAATATGCACTTCAGGTTACTCGTGGTGCTCCAGCTAGTCAGGGTCCTTAGGGTACATATATGGTACAATCATCTTTAAGTGCACCTTCTGCATGGGGTTCCTACAGAGGCTACTCTAGCCGACCGAGTCTAGATCAGTATCAGCAGCCATGCCCGTAGAGAGGTTGTTTTGAGTGTGGCGATACGAGGCACATTATGAGGGATTGTCCTAGACTTAGGAGGGATAGACCTCCACAGGATACACAAGCCATGGTTGCTGCTCCAGTTTCTACTCTACCTG